GGCCCAAAAGCTTCCTCTCCCCTACCTTTGATTCTTCCTAATCAAGAGAATTCAATTTTAGTCATGATACGAGGAGTCACAACTTGCTGGCCGTGAGGCTTTACTTGCCCTCTTGTGTGCTTTGCTACTCGCTCGACTGCCTGTTTGACTCTTTAATTATTTCCACTAGACCCTCGATTGAATTGGCCCAACCGGCTACCACATGGGGAGTGTCGATGCTCTAGGAAGCGCTGAGATTGATGGTGGTAGGAATTATAAGGATTGAAAAAATGAAATATAACTGATGATTTAATACTTCTCCAGCATCTATCAGGATTCCATATTTTTCATGTGTTTATATTTTTAAATGGTAGCTTGCCTTTTTATTATTCAAAAGTGATGTTGACCTGTAACTTCTTGCTATCTCAGCCACGCAAGCTCACGATCGGACCAAAACCACCCACGATCTCAAACACGCTTAGTAAATGCCCCACAACCTCCTCCCTCGACACAAAAACGAGGCCTCCCTCCATTTTACTCTCATGTTCTCAGAATCGCACATAGAGAGAAGGAGAAAAGGAAGATCTGAACTCACCTCTCGGCTCCCGTCGAACTCCGGACCAGATGCCGACCTCTGCCTCTTCTCCGCCTCCGACCGTCGCGCTCTAGCCACACCGGCTACTGATCCAAACCGTCAGCCACCAGCCGCCTGTTCCGGCCGATTCCAATCGTCTGCACAAGCTCCCGCCGACCTCCTGCTCCCGCCTCCGCTTTGCTTCCATCGAGTCCAACCCGACGCCAACGAGGGAGCGCAGACACTACTCTTCCAATCTCCTTGCCATCGATTTGATCCGGTCGAGTCGAGCCAAAAGGGCAAATGCCCTCCTTACCTCCTGGCGCCGGGGGAGGGGACGCCGGAAGGTTGCCGAAATTTTCTCAAAAATTTGAGACTTAGTCAAATTTTTGGGAATATTGAAAAATGCCTAAATGATCATTTAATTTAAAAATAATTGCAATATTAATTAATAAAATAAAAAAAAGGATTTGCAAACAGGTACGAAATCAAATTGAAGATTTTGAAGGAAGTCCCGGGGTTTGATTAGGTCCACTGAAGCTCTCGGTCATCGAGTTAATCCGACGGAGGGATTGAAGACTTGAAGACCCAATCTCCTCACCGTCGATTTGATCCGGTCGAGTCGAGCCAAAAGGGCAAATGCCCTCCTTACCTCCCGGCGCCGGGGAGGGGACGTTGGAAGGCTACCGAAATTTCTCCGAAAATATTGGACTTGTGAATTTTTGGGAAAGTTGGAAACACATGACTTGCAAATTTGGATAATTCAAATTAAAACTTGATTAAATATTGAATTTAAAATGATTTAAAATAAAATTTAATAACTAACTCTAATCAATTCAAACTTAAAATTAAAAATAATACAATAAATTGAATTGTAATTCTGATTTAACTAAAACAGTTAACTTTAAGGTTAATTAATATTGAAATCAGAAAATAAAATCAATTTAATAATGTAATCAAATAAGTAAACCGACTAATTAACTTAACTGAACAAATTAAAATGATTTAAAATTAATAAATCCAATGAATAACTAGGCTTTGAATTAATCAGTTGAATTGGTTAATAGAAATCAGGAAAACTTGAAGCTTTTAGAATTATTAAATTCAACTAAACTAAAATTGAATAACTAAATTTAAATAGTTAAATAAATTCACAAAACAATTTAAACTTTAACCTAAATTAAAATCAATCGAGCCTTAATCGGAACTTTAATTTAAACTAATTAAATAATTTTAAAATACACTTAAAATCTAAACTAACCAACTGAAAAATTGATTTTAAATTGAAACTTAATTTTAAATTTAGAATTCATTTAATTAATCAACATAATTAATTGATGCAATTGAAATAAAATGCAAGAAATCAATGTTTTCCATTAGTCCAATCTATATACAAACTCTCAAATTGACAATTCTCCAAAGGGCTACAGATTGACTCAAGCACAAAAACACAAAACTCTCTAGTAGCTCTCAAACAACACTAGCAACAAAGAGCTCTCCAAACAATTCGCCAACCAACACATATAGAGAGATGAGCAGTGAATGTAATACATCAACATTATATGTTGGCCTACAGAAAAATACATCAAACTTTTACAAATGATAACAGGGGATATATAATAATTGCAAATATGTTCTCATAGTCAACATCAGTCAAGCTTCTAGAAAGTACGTACGAGCTCCTACGAACTATTGTAGGAGATCCATCATATATCCAATGTATTACCAACAAGAAAGTACAAGAAGGATTATGTAGACACGAACACCTGTTGGCATTAATGAGAGATTCGCCACAATAACAACAAACCTATGAGTGTTAATCGACAACAAGTAATGGAGGTTACGACACCCGTGCAGTCAATCTCCATACAATGTCAATCGAATACACTGATTCCTTACAAATAATGATAAACAACATACAACAACTGCAGGCTTCCATGAATTATAGCAGGAGATCTGTTAGTGCACTACAATTCACATGCAGAAAGCAACAAGTAGTGCATAACAATCTACCTGTACAAAGCAGCAGATAAAACTCAATGCCACCGGATCCGCAACGTGTGTGCAAGCGGACTGAAGGCGTTCGTAGGCCCTTAAATGGAATTTTGGGCTTCTAAATAAAATCACTTATTTAAATGGGTCATATTTAAATATTTTAAAATACCCCTTATGTATTAGATATGATCCCTTAAACTAAAATACATCCCTGCATGTGCTCCGGTCAACTTGTAAAGTTACAATCCAAATGTCCGAAAATGCTGCGCAGGGTCAAACGCTATCACCCGCATGTGCTCCGATCGTCACACCTGAATCTTAAATCTAACGATTCGAGAATACTGCGCGGGTCTAAATTCAAGTTTCATCCTACTCCACGAAAGGGCTGGAGTCAAAACGACTTGAATTACAAAATACATACCAAATCCCTACGAAAATGCTAGTGACTTTAACGTTGCCCCGATGATGGCCGCGTTGACAGAAATTTTCAACCGGAGTAGTCAAATCTCAAATCCAATAAAATCAAGAATCCCTAAAATAAAATCTATTACATAAAACTTAAATTTAAAACCCATCCACCTCCCACAACCGCTTGTCGGGGGTGATAAATTTGAAAATAATTTCAGCTCACAAAGAGCGAATGCGTGTCGGGTGTATCGCTAAAGTTCATCCTCAAATAGTCTCTTGCCAACAGAGACGTGGCACATGCCCTCTGATCGGGTGGTTTTGCCACGAAATGGCACCGTTATATTACGATCACGGCCAAAGCCCGTATGTTCCCTAAAGGCTTCAAACCCTTGAGTTATGAATCGTAGGGTATATTTGATAGGGATAAAGCCCTCTGTTAGCTAAGGTGGATTCTGATTTATCCCCTTAGACAAATGCCAACCCAGATCTACAAGGTATTCTTAGACGAAGTAACCCATGGCTGCCGACAAGATGCTTTTTGTCAGGTTGAGTCGACTACCTCCTCTGACTAAGTAGACCACGGAACATGACAGACCGGGACGACGGAACCATGGGATCTTGATCGGGCTCGTCTTCATTCCCCCCACCATCTGTTTTTAGTTTGTGATGATAATTTCTAAATCATGATGATAAATGCAAATCTTAAATTCAAACCCTAAAATTGTTGCTATTATACGCTGGGTTTTTTAACCTATGTGATCGCTTTAATAACTAGCCTTAATCGAAAGTTCTCTCTTGCTATCAGGAGGGGTAATTAACTATAGGGGCTTGCGCCTATAAGAAACCAGAACTCAGATCATAAAGTCCTCACAAAATGAGGGCGAAATCTCTGGGTAGTGTCTTATCTAAAACTCAATCTGCTTTCTGAAAAAATTCACTCAGAACCTAATCTTGTTAAAACTCTTGTCATCGTTATAAATAAAGAAAAGATACATGATGACGCAGAGAGGCCGGGAGTGCTCATAATGGAATTTTTTGAGCCCACAAGCGAAGGCATGCCTTTTTTTTTATTCAGAAGTGAAGGCATTGACGGTTGTTTTCGTAGTTTTAAGTTGGCGGTTGGATATTTATCTGTATAGCCTGCTGGTCATTCGTGTTGGGAAAAACCTGAAGGTCATCCTCAATATATTCAATCCCTATGTCCATTTGTTTGGATGGTCGATCTGTGGGCTAGCTGACCTGGTTGTAAAGTCAGCCATTAATGGTTAGGAGTTGGCTAATGAAAATTTGGGCACTAAACATATCTCAGAGTTTATAAGCTGCATGTGGTAGGCATGATTAGCCGAGCAGTTAGAGTTGTGGCATGATGATCTTAGTAAAGTCACTGAACATGTTCCTTTTAAGGAAAAAAAATTGGGTTAGAATATCCGTATTAAATTTTGGTCAAAATCTTTTTATGTTCATTTCATTTATTTTAGTATGAGTGCATTTGATTTATTTTTATACTAAATGTTGATTGATTAATCATATATTATATTTTTCAAAGCAAATTTAATGGTTATGAAACACATTCTAATTAAATTTTGATCCGAATATTTTGATCTAAAAATTTCCCTTTCTCTTAATGCATAATGTTTATTTGGGCTGCTATAATCTATCTTGGATAAGATTGAAGAATGGGCCAAGAAGAAAAAAAAGGAGAGAAGGAAAGAAATTTAGGAGCAAAGTCAAGCAATAATTTCTTGGGTTTTCTATATTTAAGTAGGTTACTATATTGTACTTTATAAATCAATAATTAATTAGTTTTTTCCAGAGACTTCATTATGCAAGAAATAATGCAGAATTTTGTCAAGTTTGTATGAATTTGTTTATACATAATAACTAATTTTTCTATTTTGTTATGAAAACTTCAAGTAAGAAAATTCCTGGGCTTTCTCCATTTCAATTATTAATGATTGAATGTAGAAGTTTGTAAATCATCAGGAACAAAATTTCTCCTGTAAAATTTTTATTGACACTATATTTTTTTTTTTTTTTTATTCAGGAAAAATCATTCAAGATGACATGATCATTATCGTAGGGGTCGGCGATGAATTAACATGCTCTACAGGTACTGAGCATGAGATTAAGCAAGCAATCATAAGAGTTTTGCAAGGTGAGTTGGGCCTTCATGTTGTTACTGGGCATAAACCTGATTTAAACCTCTCTATGGTCGTAAAGAACTCCACCTTCGCTGAAGATAAATATGAGGCAAGGAGACCACACTACTCAGGATTATTAAAAATTACCAAGGAATCAATTTATCAATGGCTGCAAAGAAAAGAAGTTACTAAGATTTGGTTCAACAGAACTTACATCTTCCTTGGCAGGCATCGCTCAGCAATCAATTGATGAGAATTTCTAAGATCTCCATTTTTATATATACCTGTACAGTTTATATCTGTAACAATTTCAGTAAAAACTTGTTGTTGGAATAATCCCATTTATGGGGTTGTTTTCACAGCTTGTGATGCGTATTTTTGGCATCAGGCATTCAGGCAATGTGTAGAACTTCCAGTAGTGGAGTCTTAATTCAGCTGCAGTAGAACAATAACAAGCTGATATCTCCATTTATAGCAGATGAAGCCTTTTTCAGCTGTATAGATAAGGAGTGATTATTCTGTGCGGACACCGGATGAGAGAACCGTACGGTTTACGCTTAAGTACCGAGTGGTGCCTCGGTCGATACCGAGCTCGGTATCGGACGTGACGCATTTTCATTGAAGTCCAAACTCCGCATAGAATAATTTTTCGTATAGATGAGGGGAGGCCAAAGGTATGACAACTCCACAGAAGTTTATTATGTATTCGGTTTGATAATTGTACAACTGAAATGAATATTAATTTCTAGTTGGTGGACCCCAAAATTTTACTTTAGAAGATATGTGCAGATTTCAAAATAAATAAATTTAGGAGTTTTTTTTTTTTGGATAATTATAAATATCAACTTTTGTTATATTTATTCTATTGCATGTGCTTCAAAATTTTTTTTTTAGGGAAATCTTATTAAGTTGTCATGTTGAATTATTTTTCTATTCCACACAAGCAAATTAATATTTTCAAATTAAATACTCGAAATTGTCCTCCCTGTTTAGAGGTCATTTCGAATCACTTTTTGTCTTTTCTTTTTATTTAATTTGCAAGATGTTAATAATTTTTTTAAATACTCAAAATTATTTTATATATTTTTTAAATAACCTGATTTATTCAAAAATTAAAAAATAGTTAAATAAAAAACACTAAACAAACATGTTCTTAAATAAAAAAAAATACTTCAAACAAGCCCTTAATTATTGCACTTTCATTTCTCACTCATTGTTCCTTCTCACAATCATTTAAATCCCATTTGGTACCAAAGCTAATATTGAGGTTCCAACAGAAAAATTGTGTTAACAATGAGACAGTTTATTCGGGGTAGGATTATTGGCACCCTCAGTTCGATAAGATAACAATTTTAGGCTTTGTTTGGGACGGTTTTTTCATTGCTTTCTAAAACGGAGTTTCAGTACAAAAATAAAAAAAATTGTATTAAAACTCCATTTTAGAAAGTAATAAAAAAGCCGTCCCAAACGAAGCCTTAATCTTTAGAAAGCAATTTATTTCAATGTTAATTGCATTATCTGCCTTCAAAATTTGAATATAAAGTTTTTTTTTATTTAATTTTAAAACTACACGAATATAAAATTATATTATGAAAATGTCATGTATGCATCTAGATGCTTTAACAATAAATTTAAATAAAAGTGCTTTAGAAAGATTATGCTTATGGACAGATGGTAATAAGACTTGTACATGTAGGGCGACAAAGGTGAGATCATCAAAAGGCCTAAGTGTGGTTTTTTAATGGACAAATTTTTAGAAATGAATTTCCTTGGAAATTCTCAGGCCACGATTGGTTTGGTGAGGTGGCCGGCGGTTGAGTTGGCTGGGCTAGGTGGAATTGAGTTGGCAAGGACTGAGTGGTGCACTTAGTTCTGAGCTCTCCAAGACTGTGGTGCATTTAGTTGAGAGCTCTCCAAACAGTGTCACAATTTTGGCACAATTTTTTAAGTAAAAAATGATTTAAATTTTTTTAAATAAAATAAAAATAAAAAATGAAGAAATAAAAAAATAGGAAAAATTAAAAAACATAAACGAATATATATACTGAAAAAATAGTTGGGGTGAGTAAAAAATGAAAAATAAAAATAACAAAAAAAAATGGAAAAAAAAGGTGAACATATGATAAAAAAGTAAACAATTATCAAAAAAAAATAAAAAATGAAAAAAAAATTCAAAAAAAAAAAAAACTAGAAACAACGAAAATAAAAAGATTAGAACAAATAAAAAGTAAAAATAAAAATAAAAACGCAAAAAATATATTTAAAAAAAAAAAAAAGAAATGATCAGTCGTTAACTCATTGAACGACTGGCCATTTTTTTTAATTTTTTTTATTTTTATTTTTTATTTTGTTTATTCTTTTTCATTGCATTGTTTTTTGTTTTTATTTTTTATTCTTTTTTTTTCTTTTCTGTTTTATTTTTTTTTAAAGGTTTGGGTATTGCACTATTTTTCTTTTTTTATTTTTTTTTTATTTTGTTTATTTCTCTTGTTTTTTTTTTCATTTTTTATTAATCCCAATTGTTTTTTTTTTTATTATATATTTGTTTCTTTTTTTTTAATTTGTCCTGTTTTTTAATTTTATTTTGCTTAAAAAATTTTAACCATTTTTACTCTAAAATTTATGCCAAAATAAGTTTTTAAAATAAACATTATGGAGAACCGACGAGTCATTTAGAGATCCAACGACTTGTAAGAGTTGATGATTACTTGCACCCACTCCTTGCCAGCTTGATTCCACCTCACTCCGCCAGCTCAATTCCACCTCGTCCGCCAGCTCGATCGCCCGCCACCTCACCAGAGCCAATCATTGTTTAAAATAGCGACCGTCATCATTTCTAATTTTTTCTTTCTTCATATTATTTCCAACTAAAAAATTTTGAAAGAAATTTATTTTAAAAATGTCCGTTTTTTTATTTAAGATGTTTATATTGACTTTGACGGGTAGGGGTAATAGAGGCGAGCTCATAAGGAAGCCAAAGTGATCTCGACATGTAGCTTTCATATTACGTTAGTCGAATGAATTACGCCCATATAGATGATATATATTCGATAGCTAAAAGAAGAATTGTATGTGATTTATGTGATCAACAAAAGAAATTTATAAATTATTAGTTAACAATGTGATATTGTATAATTAATGCTTAAAACTTACATGTTTATCTAAAGCTTGGTCGAAATAGAATATTTTGCTTATGAAGTACATCAAATGTTAATTCAAGCATTCTATATATGAAAATTCAAGGTATCATATTTAGATGAATAATTTACTATATTAGTAAAAGTAAAATCTTATAATTTTTTTTTTGTTTGTTTATTTGAATTGTTTATCTTGGCTTGAGGAAGCTAATGTTATATGAAAAAAATAGCTAGTGATATTAAGAAAGTTATAAAAGATGTATTTGGAGTATCAAAAAAAAAATCTCCTAATAATAAAAATAGTTGGTGGTGAAATCAAAATGGATAAGAAAAGATAAAAAATAAAAGAAAATTGTTATAAAAATTAGTTTAAAAGTAAAAATTCTAATAATTGAGAAATATATAAAGAGGCTTATTAGAAGTTTAAGAAAGCAATATGTGATCCAAAGATTTTAACTTTTAATGATTTATATAATAGATTAGTTACTAAGTAGGTCAAAAGATATATGTATAAGTTAGCGAAATAAAGAGATAGGCGTAGTAAAAATTTAATTCAAATAAAGTGTATTAAGTAAGGATGAAGATCAAAAAGTGTGTTTATTAGAAGAGGATATTTAACAAAGGTGGATGAGATATTTGCTATATTTTTCAATAAAGATTGTGAGAATACGATTGACTTTATTGACCTTAGCACCCTAAATGAAAATAAAAAAAATTTATTTTTATCAGCGCAATAGTAAAATTGAAGTTAGAGAAGCTTTAAAAAAAAGAAGTGTGGAAAAGTAAAGTTGTTGGACCCGATGATATTCAAATAGAGGTGTGGAAATGCTTAAGAGATTACGGAATTTCTTGACTCACTAAAGTTTTTAAAATTATTTTGAAGACTAAAAAATGTCAGATAAGTGGAGAAAGTGTTTGTTGATTACTATTTTTAAGAAAAAAAAGAAGATTCACAAGATTGTGCAGATTATAGAGGAATTAAGATAATGTATCATACTTTAAAAACTATGGGGTGATATTAATGTTTCTAAAAATCAATTAGTATTCATGTCGGGTAGGTTTATTATGTAAGCTAAACATTTATTTAGAGGTTTGATGGAGAAATATAGAGAGAATAAGGAGGATCTACATATGATATTTATTGATTTAGATAAAGCATGTGATAAAATTCCAAGGGAAGTGTTATGGAGAGTTCTAGAAAAGAAAAAGGCTAATAATGCTTATATTCAAGTCATTAAGGATATGTATGCAAGAGTTGTTACTTGTATTCAAACACAAGGTGGTTTGACCAATATTTTCCTATTTCAGTTAGATTACATCAAGGATTAACCTTAAGCCCATATCTTTGTTTCTTAAGTATGGATGTTTTCACTAGAAATTTGCAAGAGGTTGTACCCTGGCGTATGCCTTTTGCTGATAATATTTTCTTGTTGATGAAACTAGAGAGGGAGTTGAAGTTAAACTTGAATTATGGATGTCAGCCTTAGAGTCCAAAGGTTTTTGTTTGAGTAGGATCTAAAACTTAATATATGGAGTAAAATTTTAGTAGTAATAGATCTGGTGGGGGATTGTGACTTTAAGCGATCAAGTCATTAATAAGTGTACATGTTTTATATATCTTGGGTCTATTGTTTAAAGTGATGGTGAAATAGATGGTGATATTATTAGTGAAATTCAAGTTGGATGGTTGAAATAGAGGAATCCATCGGGCTTACTATGTGATAGAAAAGCCCCCCTCAAACTTAAGAGAAAATTCTATAAGATGGTTGTGAGACCTGCAATACTTTATGATGCAGAATGTTGGCCATTAAAAGAAAAGCATAATATTAAGTCAACTGTTGAAGAGATGAGAATGCTCAGGTGGATGAGTGGCTTTACTATTAGAGATAGGATATGAAATGAGTATATACATGAAAAGGTTGGAGTAGCTCTAAGATAAGATTAGAGAGAATCGCCTTAGATGGTTTGGTCACATAAAACTACAGCCTTCCAATGACCCGATTAGAAAAGTAGATATATTATATTTGACTTATGTTAAAAAAGGTAGAGGTAGAACTAAAAAAAATTGGTTAGAAAATATTAAAAATGATCTTTCTTTATTATATTTAAATGAGAATTTGACTCTTAACATGATACAATGAGAAAAGGATTTATATAGCCGACCCCACGCAGTGATATAAAGGCTTGAAATTGTAGTATATGAATTGTTTATCTTGCTAAATTTCTTTTTACTCGTACTCTATTATGTTAAATAGCATTTTAAGTAAGGGAAAAGACAAAAGATAGACCCCGAATAAAAGTTAGTTTTTGATATTTTGGGCGCACATATTTTTGTGTATAATTTTATAATAAGTTAGAGTTTTAGCAAATATGTCCATTATGATTTACATAATTTTTTTTTTATTTATATAGAATCTTAAAATTGTTTTAGCATTCTGTAGATAAATGGATATTTAGAATATTGTTCAAATTGCTTTCGTTCTAGATAATATTGTAAAGTGCTAATTGGAATAATCATCATAATAAATTTTATTTTAGTAAAAATGATGTTATGTAACAATTTAATAAAGTGTTTCCCTATTCACCACATGCTGATCTAAACAGGCTGTCATAGGGTGAGACAAAATGCTACAATGGAAGAGTTCAAGATAGATAATATGAGGAAGTCCTCAAATATCTTCACTCTACTCCACGTAAAGGAGAGATTATTCTATGCGGACATCGGACACACCTTACCGTCCAGAGACGAATCAGGTGCCGCCACATCATCCGGTACCGAGCAGTATTGAGTTGTGGTACCGAGCAGGAGGTAACATGGCGCATTTTCATTGGGCTCTGGACGACGTTCGGCGTTCGCACAGAATAATTTCGCCACATAAAGAGCTTTAGTCCAACAACTCTACAAAAAGTCACATGAAATTTTACCTTATTGATGATATGCCCTTAAGCATTAGCAACATTAATATCAAAACTGCTAATAACTAATAAGACTATGTGAAAGATTCATAAACTGAGAACAGGAATTTGATCTCCAAACTTGACCTTTAAGACTGGCACTCGAAACGAAATAAAGGGTATACTATAATGAGAGTATGTGATGGTAAAAAAGGCACACTATACATGACTTTAAACCTGAAATAATGAAAACAATGTAATCAAATATTGATTCATAAACATGGCATCCAAAGATGGGATATATGAACGAGAAGGAGATGATAATTTTACATCCAAATTTCATAAGGAAAGTTTTCAAATTTAGAATCCTCAGATTCTAGACTCTGTAAGAAGTGAGAATAGGTTGAAGAACTTCTGGACAGCAAACAAAGGATTTACGGATAGCAGGACAGCAACCGGCCTTTGCTGAAATTTCTGGATAACAACTTTAATATGTCCAGGAAATCTGGACAACAACTTTGCGAGATGAAAATCCTTCGGAATTGATGTTCAGGGGAAGAGGTTAGTAGGACTAATTCAAAGTGAAGAGGTGGAGGTAGTGGGGGCAGGTCATAGAGGAGGGAGAGGGGAAAATAGTTCCATATTTTTGTGTGTTGATAAAAGGAGGCAATTCAAAATCTGAAATTTAATTTCAGATTTAATGGGTGGAGATGATGGGGAAGTTTGAATTTGAATTCCCCAAATAAAGAGGGAAAGGAGGGGAGGGGCCAGCCATGCCTTGGATAGGGGAGGGGATTTGGGGAATTAAGAGACTTGCCAAAACTTGTCCACTTGTTAATGGAATAGGATTTAAATCAACTCGTCAATTAAATTTGAATTGGCATAAATAAGGCAACTTTCCTAATATAACTCAACTCTTCAAATAGAAAGAGATTTCGAATTTGAATTAGATTGGGATTAAATTCTTTAACTTTCCCAAAATTATTAGGCACTAGATTTGGAAAGTAATTAGGAGGTGTTTGAAAATTAGGGTTCCAAAAGAGGGGTGGGGTGTGGCCGGCGGCTAGGGGAGGGGTCTGGGGTTTGGGCCGACGGCAAGGAGGGGAATAGGAGGTTTGGGGGGATGGCGACTTGAAGGAGGAGGTGGGTAGTTCTGGGCCGGTGGCTAGGAGGAAGGAGGGGCTTCAGGCTAGGGTTTAGGTGGAGTTCGGCCAAGGGAGAAAAGGGGAGAGGTGGAGGGGGTCGGCCTAGGGTTTGGTGATGTGGGGGTTCGGTCAAGAGAGGGAGATGGGAGGATGGGGCCGGCGGTTTAAGGAGAAGAGAGGGGAGGAGGGTGATGGAAGAGGTGGACAACAAGCCTGGACGCTTCCTACGGTTGATGGGTAATACGTTGCCCTCACCTAGGGACTTCAAACTCTCACAAGAGCTCTCGAACTCACCAAAACACAAGTGCATGAAATTTTCTTCATAATCATCATCCCTCATAAGGAAAGGAGGGGGCTATAAATAGGCAAATAAAATAGAAAATCCAAAAGACAAAAGTGCCCCATGGGGTCACATAAACCTACTCCCTCAAGTGAGGATAAAATCGAAAAAGATACAATAATAAATCAAATACAAACAATATCTCATAAATAAAGCGGTGTAATTGTGGTCGTAGATCTCCGGCCTCTTCTCTGATAAACTCTCCACTGTCGGATGTCCTCATCACTTTTATAAATACTTGATTGATAAATGAACAAAATTGAATAGCTCAATATTTTATTCATTTATGATCATGAATAATATTATTTAAAGCTTGCAAACAAACTGGGTAAAAAGCACGATTAAAACTAGATTGCATGCTCATTTAATATTCGATTATAATTTATTTAAAATGTGATTATGATTATATATTAGATTATTTTTGTTTGCGAATAAAAACTACTTGTTTAAGCTCACTAAAATGCTTGTTTATTTAATAATTCATTCAATTAAAGTCTATTTTTTTAAGCTCAATAGGCTACTTATTAATAAGCTCAACAGGATTTCCTAAGTTAACTAACAAGCTATTCGATGGTATTGTTTGTTAATAGGTTCGATAGAGTCTATTTTGGTTAGCTAACGAGTCAAGCTTAAGACAAATTTAAACAACCAACATATTAAATAAAATGACCTTGAACATTCCTACAAATATTCAAATCAAGCCCAATTTTGAGTTTGATTATGGTTTCATAAACAAGCTCGAGCTCATGCAAACTCCTAAGCTCAACTCTGTATATTTACAGCCCTACTCCCAACATCACTAATCCAATCGATTTCAACTCCCTAGTATAATCGAACCAAATAGCAAACAAAAGATTCAATCCTAAGGCATGTCATTCACAATAATTCATCAACAGCGAAATAGAAATGCCTTGTCATTAAAGGAGAGCAACAATTCATTTTATGAATGGTCTATACTTTTTCATATGTTTCTAACAGTTCAATTCAATTCTACTGGCATGGCTCTACAATGCCTTCTCAAAGCTAAAAATGAGGGTGCCAGAGGAAGAATAGAGTGAGACAGAAATTTCTTCTTATTCTTGAGCGGCTTAGACGCCAAAATAGTTGTTATTAAAAAATATACAAATTATATCAAGATGTATTTAAATATTATTGAATTTATTTTAAAATTAGTGCTACATGTAAAAATTTGTATTGCATTAATTTCAAAATAAATTTATTAATTTTTAAGCTCATCTTGATACATTATTCTTTTTATGGTGATTTAAAAAATGACATTTCTATGATGCAATCTGAAAGAGGTCCTTCCTCAACAGTCATTAGCAACCAGCACAGTTCCAGCATCTGGTATTTACCAAGATAACTAGGCCACACCCAGCCCTTCTATGTTGAGTTTTCTTCTTTTACCTGTCCTCAGTTTTTGCTCTCTGGATAATTTTTTTCCCAGACAATAATTCTAGCAGGATAAGGAGTTAATGACAAATTATCTTCAAAATTCAACATGGATTAAAGAATAAAAATATTTATGTATTTCAGTGGTTTTCAACACTTCTAAAACATTTGGTGTCAACAAACGCAGAGTTACTAGCATAGAACAAAAATATGAAGGTCATAGTTTCCTCACGCTAATCTATGCAACCACAACGAATGCGAATCCACCAAGGAGGCATTGAATAAAACAAAAAAAATTAAACAGTTCAAAATTGGTAATATTCATTAACATTAACATCAGAATAATAAGAATCTTATACTGTTATACAAATCAGATACAAAGACCCAAATAGCACACATAACAAAATCTGAGGGGCGAGATATAGATATATATTCCAGAAATATAAATTTTCAAACCATGACAGCGAAAAAGAGCCGCAAGAAAGATCAGAACTAACCATTACACCTCTGAAGATCATAACCAGTCCTGCTGTTGTATCTTTAAAGGCAAATAGACCTCAGAAAGATACTGAAATCCAAAGGAACTAAGAGCCTGAATTTCAGCTTTCTGTCTTGTCTTCACCATCATCTCAAGCTCCTTCACCCATCCCTCATTCCTCTTCACAAAATCCTCTTCAAGAAGGTCCTTTCCAGCCTTCACATCTTGATCAGTCATCGGCAGTCGGCACTGCTCTGGCACCTGGTACTTGTCAAGGTCGCTCGGCCGAATCCCCAGCCATTTGATATCCGGCGTGGTCAGGTTCGAGCTATCATATGACATGTTCTTCGATCCGCACATGTAGACAGAGAGGATCTTAAGCCCGTAGGGATCACTATCAACGAGAGCAAGAACTGGTAACTTTAGCTCAGTCTTCATGCGTTTGAGGAAGAGCCTGGTGGCCACGTCAGGCTGGCCCTTGGCGGTGACGATGATGCAGGGGAACCGATTGTAGAACCGGTCCTCGGCGAGACGCATAAACGCGGCGTCTTTCTCAACAAGTAGGATAAAGAGGGCGTCGCTCTCTAGATCACCGACACGGTCGATGTTGGGAGGGATGGCTTTGCCGCCTATGCCCATTTTGGTACAGTCTATTCTGTCACCATCGTCGTAGAAAATGAGTCGGCCAACGACGACGCCCTTCTCTGAGGCGACGACGTGCAGTGAGGAGCGGGTACAGCCGAGCATACACGAGACATCGTCTAGGACGGCGTCGGAGTGACTCTGGTCTTGGAAGAGCTTGACATCGGTGTAGAAGAGATCACGCTTAGTGACATGGATATTGCGACGGAGGACTGCGTAGACGAGGGAGAGAACGCGGGCAGTGATGGTGGCCTTTCTGACGGTAGATAGATTGGCGAATATGCGTGCGGATGTTTTGTCGCGAAGGACGATGCGGTCTAGCTCGGGGACGTAGAGCTGGTTAGAGGAGGACCGGGAGGGTATGTCGAAGGAGAAACCGGAGCCGGAGAGGATGGATCGAGCAGCGTCGAGGGCGGCCCTTTCGATGGAGAGTAGAACGGAGGAGGAGTCTCGATCTGAGACTTCGCGGCAAGCGGACGATAGGTTGAGATCGGAGAGGGTTAGGGTTTTGAAGGTGGACGATTTAGAAGCGGCTGACATCCTGCGGATGGATTCGAGGATGTCGGCATCGGACTTGAGCTGCTTACGTAGCTCATCGGCGCGGGAGGATGGCCGGGATTTCTTGCCGGTAGCCGAGGGTCCTGCTTCGCCACGACGGCGCTTCTTCTCTGACATAGTGGGAACAGCTAATAGTGACAGAGGGCGGGAGGGAGGGAGGAACGAGAGTAGGGTTCTGGACTAACAGCTATTTTATTTACTTTTTTTTTTTTAGAAAATTCATAAAACAATTTATTACTACAAGTAACTAATTACAATCACATTCTTTTTTTAACATACTCATAAATGAAGGAGGAATATTATTAAGAATATTATCACTCCAAAAGAAATCTAAAACAGGTGCTAAATTAGCATAGAAATCTGCTAATCTATTACATTCTCTATTATAAAAATAAAAGACAACCTGCTTAAAATCATTAAGGAACCTCAAATCTTTCGGATTATGGAAATCTTCTTTATCCATAGCCTTATTCATTAATCTTTGAAAATAATTGATAACATTAAAGTTATCACCTTCTATAACAATTTCTTTGCATCAAACATCCAATCTTGAATATAGTTCCTCAAGGCAAGAACTGATAAAATTTCCACTTGTGAGCAATCTCAATATATAGAACTAAAACCAAAAGCACATAAAAATTTTCCTTTACAATCTCTGAAGACGCCAGCTTTGTTTGTGCTAGTCAAGGAAGCATCCACATTTGCCTTAATCCATCCTGGAGGGGGAGGACGCAAAGAAAATCGAAACAGCATGCACAGCTGATTAGCATCCCAGTTCTCCCAAATAGAATTTGCATGAAAAGAAGCCACCACATGACTGAAAGAATTAGCTGCTATATAAGTTGAAGAATCATCCATTTTGCCATGAGTAATCTTACTTCTTCCCTTCCAACAAAAAAAACCATTGAACAATATAGATTTCCAACAAACAGATTAGTATTAGCAAGCTGCCTCTGAGGAAATAAGACTATTGAAAGTTGGCATAGAACAGACCCACTTGGAATGATTATTAAAAACTTGATAGATTTTAATATACTTCACTGCAATATGTTCATAATCTTCATCAGTAGCACAACCTCTCGGGCATCCAACAAAATCAGACATCCTTGTGTACACTAGGAAATGATTTGATGGGATAGCATTTATGCTCAAACGCCACCAAAACAAATTAACTCAAGGCCTTAAATTCAGTTTCTTCATCCCACTCCAGCTATTATCTTCCATACTACCTTCATTAAATCTTTCCAATGTTATTGATGTAATGGATTTAACCGAACACTTTTAAAGTAGCTCCATCAGATCTCCTCCCAATTCAGAATTAATAGGAACAGATAAAATCATATCCACCAGGTCTTGTCCGAAAATTTCCTTCAGCTTCAGAACATTCTAGCTACCTTGATACCAACACTCCCACCATTTTGAGCAATGCCTCAGATAACAATTGAGAGCATAAAATAAATAGGTAAGGGGATAATGGACACCCTTGCCTAAACCCACTTCTAGCCTCAATCCATTCAGAATTATGACCATTAATCATAATAGAGAACATAGGTTTAACAACACACTCCATAATAAGATTAGAGAAACGCCTTGGAAAGTCGAAGCAATCTAGTACCTGATAGAGAGTAGAACAACTCATTATATCGTATGCTTGTTCCATATCAATCTTAAAAGCCATCCAACCCTTTTTTCGATTTAGAAGATCTAAATTTATTAAATAATTCTTGGGCCAATAAAATATGATCCGACATAGATCTTCCTTTTACAAAAGCATATTGAACTTCTGAAATGATATATGGGAAAAGAAGATACATCTTATTTAAGAACATTCTAGCCACAATTTTATAAGTAGAATTGCAAAGACTTATAGGATGATAATTTGAAAGATTCAAAGGATTCTTCACCTTTGGGGTCAACACCACATTAGTCTCCTTCCACTGAGGACAGAGCTTTCCAGAATTAAAGAACAAGCTGATCGCCATCCAAACATCCTCTGTGATAAAAGGCCAATAAGATTTAATAAAGGAATAAGTTATTCCATAATTACCAGAAGATTTATTAGTCTTCAGCTGATTTATAACAATCTCCAATCCTTCTTTAGAGAACTCCTTCTCAAGAAATAATATGTCAGCAACATCAAGTTTTGATGACAGAGAAGGCCAACCTCCCAGATTGCATCCACAGTTCCTCCATTATTCTTTAAAAAATTCAAAGAAAATACCTTCCACTTTACCCTACACTTTAACCAAAACCCCATTAATATCTTTCACTTGACTAATCCAATTTCCATTCCTTCTAGCCATAGCATAAGAATGAAAGAATTTTGAGTATGAATCACCTTCTTTCAAACATTATATTTTAGCACTTTGATTCCACCAAGTACTAAGTCGAGCGAGGGTAACATTGAGCTCAGTAACCTTTGACTTTAACAGAACCAATCTCTAATCCAAAAGACCACCAGATCTGGCTTCTTCTTCTTATAAATCTAGAACTTCTTTCTTCAGATCTTCTTTAAGGTTCTGCAAATTTTTGTGCTTAGCTTTGCTCTAAAAGAACAAAGCCTTTAGAGCCCTCTTGAACTTCCTATTCAAACCATCAACAATGTCACCCTTCATAGCCTTCTTCCAAGAATGATATACAATAGAAAATGAAGTAGGATACGTAACCCATACATCATCAAACATCACTTTCCTGCACTTCTGGAAATTAGAGGAAAAAACTTTCAGCATGATAGGGTATTGGTCCAAAACTACTATGGCCAAATGCCTAACCACAACCAACTTAACTATTCTTAAAGTAGCAGAGTTAAGAATACAATGGTTCAATCTCTCCAAAATACTAGCTCCTCCTCTTTTGTTATTACAACAAGTATACTTAAGACCAACCATTCCAATCTCATGAAAATCAAAATTTCTCATAAATGTAAGCATATCTTGAGGACCTTGAGAAATGATGAACTTCTTACCACCTCTTTTATCATATTGAGACAACATACAATTCAAGTCACCTCCAATAATTGCAGGAATATTTCTATCTGATAGCACCTCCAAACTGTTCCACAAACTCCTCCTCTTGTAACAATCAATACTCTCATAAACCGTGGCTAACATCCACACTACTTTATTCACAATATTAAGCTCGCCCACAACTACTTGAGAAGATGCTTCTCAGACTAAAAAAGAAGCAATATCCGACCTCCAAAAAATTATAATACCCCCAAATAAACCATCAGCAGGATAGAGAAAAAACTCGCACTTATCACCAATAAACTTCTTGAACTCAAACTTGTTCATAAATAAAATCTTTGTTTCAACCAAGCCAACTAAAAAAGAACAATGGTCCTTCACAATCACCTTCAGATACCGAGAGGCCGCACCCTTCTTAGCCCCCCTACAATTCCAATAAATAATTGAATTCATTTACCTTTGAAGGTGGAACAACTCCCACCACCCTTTTTGTTCATAACATCTCCTTTTCTACTACGGGAAAGCACACTCACTTTACCAAATAATTTATGCTCTTTCTAAAGTTTACACTTGGCCACCCCCAAATTACCACCATCCAATCCATTAATAAAACCAAAATTTCCTTCCACCTCCTCAACAACTTTACCATCTTATTTATTAAGAACATTTGAAACACCACAGTGTTCCTTAATCTTAACACAGTCACCCTCCATGACATTATCTAGAACTGAAAACAAATTAACATCAGGTTGCAAAGGCAAATTCATATATAATAATTCCATACCAACAACAGGTTGGTCAAAAGTCTCCATCTCTTGGACTATATAACTACCAAGATTAATCAGATCAATTTCATCAACACCATCTCCTTTCTCTAGAGCTCCCTATTCTTCCTTATTAGACACCAACAACTCATCATTATGTGACACATGCTTACAATGTGAAACAAATAACTCATCATTAACTACTCCTGCAACTTGCCTTACTACCAATCTAGATCCACTCATAAGATTTTGCTAAACTTTCTTTACAAAAGCTAGAATAGATTGACCAACTTTCTTCTAATCAGTTTTCACATTGGTAGAAAAATTTCTTTTCCTACCATAATTAACATGAATCCATAGACCATACGAAGTTCCTTTATCCTATACCAATGGCTTAGGCTTCTCTATAGTAACATCTTTTGATGAAGAATTCATCAAATGATCATGAGCACCAGAATTCCTTTCCACCAAACAATCATTGATTAAATGACCAATCTTCCCAAATTTAAAACAAAATGTGGAAATTTTTTCGAATTCCAGCCTTTGAAAATAATGTCCATTAGACCCCTCCAACCAAACCCCCATCGAAAGCTGTTCATAAAGTGCAACTCGCACACAAACCCTCACATACTCTCTTCTTCCCCATTGAAACATATTACCATCTATCCAAATAGCACGCCCAATTATAGATGCAATTCTCAAGAAATTAATCTCATCCCAACAAACTAGAGGTAGATGAGGCATCCTCACCCAAATAGGAGATATCAATCCTTTTAAGGAAGACAGAAAATTAAGGTGTCCACTTCTCTAATCCCACTATATGTCCTCTTACAAACCATGAACCCCCTGGCAAAACATTTTCCATCGCTTTATATAAAAAGAACGAACATAAAATCCATCCTAACCCTAGAATGGTCAGGTGGAACTTCCTAAATTGCAACCATTGTCAACGCAATTCATCTGCAATCACCTACACTAGAATGTTCTCTCTAAAAACCTTCACTACTATAGAGAACTGTAATTTGTCTGAATTAGACTTAACACTGGTCTCATGTAACCTAATGGCCTTCCAATCTTTAGATAGAATTGAATCATCCTTGATAAAATTAATCCTCATATTAGGACGTCTCTTCCAAGGATTAGCAGATGTCAATACACCTTCACCATTATTATTCTTCTCATTACACAGATAGTTTTTATCATAGCAAAACCCTTCTTGGACATTAACACAATCATTTGACTGAACATTCACCACATTATTGGAAGAAGATATCTCCTTATTATTCACATTGCAAAATCTATTGATAAAAAGCTTCATGCTAGATGAAGAAGAAGCCTCGAAATCATTAGGTACCTTCAATGGAGAATGAATACCATGGGTAAGTGGTGTCTTAACATTAGAACCAACATCAACTTGTTCA